CACTGTCTATGCAGCATGTGGACTGAGATGTCACTGCACTGTCTATGCAGCATGTGGACTGAGATTTCACTGTACTGTCTATGCAGCATGTAGACTGAGATTTCACTGCACTGTCTATGCAGCATGTAGACTGAGATTTCATTGCACTGTCTATGCAGCATGTAGACTGAGATTTCACTGCACTGTCTATGCAGCATGTAGACTGAGATTTCATTGCACTGTCTATGCAGCATGTGGACTGAGATTTCACTGCAATGTCTAAGCAGCATGTGGACTGAGATTTCACTGCACTGTCTATGCAGCATGTAGACTGAGATTTCATTGCACTGTCTATGCAGCATGTAGACTGAGATTTCATTGCACTGTCTATGCAGCATGTAGACTGAGATTTCATTGCACTGTCTATCCAAGATTTTTAAACTGCCAATTCTTTTGGATGTGAAATAGGAATGAAAGCTTAAAACATAGGAATCTTAGCATAAAAATAGGAATATTTCCAATTTTTATCAAACAGTATTTTGTAAGCATGAAAGCTCATAGATACAAAGTGTTCTTAGATGGAAATGTGCTTCTACAGCCATCTTACCTGTATGTGACATGTGCAAGTTTATCAAGAAAACACTGGAATGCTCTGCCATTATCAACAAAATGAAGTGGTCTATATCCCTTGCATAATGCTCTGCCATTATCAACAAAATGAATTGGTCTATATCCCTTGCATAATGCTCTGCCAATCAACAAAATGAATTGGTCTATATCCCTTGCATAATGTTCTGCCATTATCAACAAAATGAATTGGTCTATATCCCTTGCATAATGTTCTGCCATTATCAACAAAATGAATTAGTCTATATCCCTTGCATAATGCTCTGCCATTATCAACAAAATGAATTGGTCTATATCCCTTGCATAATGTTCTGCCATTATCAACAAAATGAATTAGTCTATATCCCTTGCATAATGCTCTGCCAATCAACAAAATGAATTGGTCTATATCCCTTGCATAATGCTCTGCCAATCAACAAAATGAATTGGTCTATATCCCTTGCATAATGTTCTGCCATTATCAACAAAATGAATTGGTCTATATCCCTTGCATAATGTTCTGCCATTATCAACAAAATGAATTGGTCTATATCCCTTGCATAATGCTCTGCCAATCAACAAAATGAATTGGTCTATATCCCTTGCATAATGCTCTGCCATTATCAACAAAATGAATTGGTCTATATCCCTTGCATAATGCTCTGCCATTATCAACAAAATGAATTGGTCTATATCCCTTGCATAATGCTCTGCCATTATCAACAAAATGAATTGGTCTATATCCCTTGCATAATGCTCTGCCATTATCAACAAAATGAATTGGTCTATATCCCTTGCATAATGCTCTGCCATTATCAACAAAATGAATTGGTCTATATCCCTTGCATAATGTTCTGCCATTATCAACAAAATGAATTGGTCTATATCCCTTGCATAATGCTCTGCCATTATCAACAAAATGAATTAGTCTATATCCCTTGCATAATGCTCTGCCATTATCAACAAAATGAATTAGTCTATATCCCTTGCATAATGCTCTGCCATTATCAACAAAATGAATTAGTCTATATCCCTTGCATAATGCTCTGCCAATCAACAAAATGAATTGGTCTATATCCCTTGCATAATGCTCTGCCAATCAACAAAATAAAGTGGTCTATATCCCTTGCATAATGCTCTGCCATTATCAACAAAATGAAGTGGTCTATATCCCTTGCATAATGCTCTGCCATTATCAACAAAATGAATTGGTCTATATCCCTTGCATAATGCTCTGCCAATCAACAAAATGAATTGGTCTATATCCCTTGCATAAAGCTCTGCCAATCAACAATGGGTAAAAGTCACCATAAAGTCTTGATTTAATTTAATGGAAAGTAAACATAGAGCTACTTCCATGTGAATCCCTACAAATTTACACAGTTTTTAATTCCCATCAGTACCACAATCCAGGTCATAGGCACAATTCATTTATATTTCCAATCTGAATGCATGTGCAATGTTTAGTCCCAAAATATTAAAACGAGTCCCTCAAAAAACTGAAGTTCCACTGAGCAAAACAAATTTTTAGGAAAGCAAGGTAAGACAATTTTCTCCTGTAAATTGCTGAGTGTTGAAATAATGTCTTGCATACATCATAACAAGATGAAGAACCCTATGTAAATATGACCATATATCATGGAGATCAGCAAGATTTTTAAGACATCACCATTAGATTCAGATATGCTCTCACAATGTGATTATTTATTATTCTAAGTGCAGAATATCTCTCTCTCACACATTCAATGGACAAGAGGTTTCCAATCCAATATTGTTGATATCCTTTGGGATACTCTATAAAGTTGCAGTATATAATAAGTGACTTCTAATGAATTGGATATGAGGATTTACCAACCCCAGAAAATGACACTGATAATGTAAACCAAAGTAATTTGTCTGCTGTTAAATTCTTTTATCCTCAAAGAAAGTAACTATATTTTTTTTTTGCATTTAATTTGCTTATGTTCTTTTGCTAAAACACTGTAATAACAACACTGGATAAAGTCTACGTGTTTACAAAATGCACAGTTCAAGTTAAATAAGGGATTTTAAATTGAAATTCTGTTAAAATACTTATAATCACAATAAATAAATTTTAAAAAATTCTTTAATAATTTAACTTCCCATTTCTATTCATTTAAGACAAAAGTTTGGGAGATGAAAAAAATTAGAGATGAGTGGACAGTCAAATGAACACAAAAAACTTTATCACTGATTAGTGATGCATACTCTGGAAGGAGGCCCTTTGAGTGGCTGCATGGTCTAAATCTCTCACTGATGTGGGTATGTGAGAAAGCTTGCCAGTAGCTTCTCATGGGTCGGTGTGTTTTTTCCAGGGTTTTTTTTATTCTTACTCTACCATTAAACCCTACAACAACATACTGGCAGGAATGCATGCTGCTCTGAATAAATAATGGAAATTACATATCAAGTACTGTCAGTCATCTGTAGCTTCTCTGAAAAAATTACTTGCAATTAGACATCAAGTACTGGAGGTAATTTGCATGCTGCTCTGAATAAAATACTGGCAATTAGACATAAAGTACTGGTGGTAATTTGCATGCTGCTCTGAATAAAATACTGGCAATTAGACATCAAGTACTGGCAGTAATTTGCCTGCTGATCTAAATAAAATACTGGCAATTAGACATGAAGTACTGGCGGTAATTTGCATGCTGCTCTGAATAAAATACTGGCAATGAGACATCAAGTACTAGTGGTAATTTGCATGCTGCTCTGAATAAAATACTGGTAATTAGACATCAAGTACTGGCGGTAATTTGCATGCTGCTCTGAATAAAACACTGGCAATTAGACATCAAGTACTGGCGGCAATTTACATGCTGCTCTGAATAAAATACTGGCAATTAGACATTAAGTACTGGCGGTAATTTGCATGCTGCTCTGAACAAAATACTGGTAATTAGACATCAAGTACTGGAGGTAATTTGCATGCTGCTCTGAATAAAATACTGGCAATTAGACATTAAGTACTGGTGGTAATTTGCATGCTGCTCTGAATAAAATACTGGCAATTAGACATCAAGTACTGGCAGTAATTTGCATGCTGATCTAAATAAAATACTGGCAATTAGACATCAAGTACTGGCAGTAATTTGCATGCTGCTCTGAATAAAATACTGGCAATTAGACATCAAGTACTGACAGTAATTTGCATGCTGCTCTGAATAAAATACTGGCAATGAGACATCAAGTACTAGCGGTAATTTGCATGCTGCTCTGAATAAAATACTGGTAATTAGACATCAAGTATTGGCAGTAATTTGCATGCTGCTCTGAAAAAATTACTGGCACTTAGACATCAAGAACTGGCGGTAATTTGCATGCTGCTCTGAATAAAATACTGGCAATTAGACATCAAGTACTGGTGGTAATTTGCATGCTGCTCTGAATAAAATACTGGCAATTAGACATCAAGTACTGGTGGTAATTTGCATACTGCTCTGAATAAAATACTGGCAATTAGACATCAAGTACTGGTGGTAATTTGCATGCTGCTCTGAATAAAATACTTGCAATTAGACATCAAGTACTGGCAGTAATTTGCATACTGCTCTGAAAAAATTACTGGCAATTAGACATCAAGTACTGTCAGTCATTAAAATATTATATCATGTGTGCATATGAGGATGATTCATTATAGAAAAGAAAGCTTACAGTAATTTAACCAAACAGAACATAGCTAAGTGAAAAGTCATCTAAAAACATGCTCTTGACAGGGTACCAACTTCAGGTACAATTAAAATACAAATATTAACTTTGGAAAAAGTTTATCTGAATTCAAGTCTTTCAAAATCTAAATTTTGCCAATGACATCATCTATCTGCTGAACTCTGGCTTAACAAAAACCCTTGACAAATTTAAATATCCTATAATATGGTATATGAATTTATTGAAATACATGTACCACCAAACATTCTCATTATTGATTTTAATTAGGCAAAAGTTTGGTGAAGACACCATATTACTCTATGGTTGACCATTGAAACTTACGTTTAAGCAAAGCTATAAATTAAAAAGGTTATCATGTAAAAATGTTATCACCTAAAAAACGGCCATAGACTGCATTTTAAGGTCACACTAAAAACAAATTTCTTTATACCTTGTAACATTCACCCAATATTCAAACATGTAGGAATTTATGTTGCAGAATCAGTTGTTTTTGCTTTGTAATGAGCTCTTCAAAGTATAAACTCAATCCATCATAGGGTGAAGGCTGTGATGTGATGTGATTATGATTTTTAATGTAGCTTAAACAATTTTGCTGTCATATCGATATGATGTCTGCAGTGTGGCAGATTATAGTGATACAGGGGCATCGTGCAGCAGACATGTAGCATCATGTCCTACTTAGTTACATTATCCTGACACCAGGCCAACCAGTTATAGCACAAACCTCCTAATGACTTGACCAGGGATCGAACCTATGACCTCCCGCATGCTTGGCATCCGAGGCAGATACTCTAACCAATAGGCCACAGGAGTGGTTTAGGGCAAAGAAAATATAAACCAATGAAAAACTTCAATCATTTTATATCTGTGACCTACAACAAATAGTTTGGGGAGTATGTCACAACATGAACCTTGCTTCACCATGCAAGGAAAATATCTATCAAATAGTAAAAGCAAATATAAATAAAACAGCGAGTCCCTAAAAGAGAATAATGATCTACTAATGAAAAGAATCTCCAAGAATTCAAGATATGATAGTTTCATCATTTTAGCTTCAACAAGACTGATATTTTTTAGCCAAAACAAGGGTTTTCAATTTACTATTCTGGCAGACATACTAGATGCAAGACCATCATCAGGTCTTTTAGGAAAATTCTGTGTAAATTCTGTGACCATCCATTCATGAGGAGAAAGCAATAGCATGATTTCCAAGATGGCTGCTATGGTGGCCATGGTGGATATCAGTTCAGTGTCATTTTTACTTTAAGTAACATCATCAAGTCTTTTGGTGAAAATCTTATCTTCATAAGACCATCTGTTTAAAATGATTATCTTAACAAAATTTCAATATAGTGGCCATTTTGCAGGTCAGATTGGCACCATTTTAATTTAGAGCCAGCTAGATATCACAGTCTTCTGGTCAAGACCTATCAATACAACTTTCCTTGAAGAGAAGCAGCAAGATGGCTTCTATGATGGCCATATTGACTGTCAGATCAGTATTTTTTTTTTTATGTAGGACCAACTAGTCAAGATATAATTTTGGTGAAAATACCATGTTGATGTTCTTTCTGGTCAGAAAGTGTAGTAATAACAAGGTTTTTAAGATGGCTGCTATGTTCGAATAAAAACCCAGTCTGGATATGATAATCCAGAGAATGGCAAAATCAAGATGTTTAAGATAACTGTTGTATAGGTTAAATTGAATAAATAAGCAACACCATTTTCATTTAAACTGGTTTGGTTTTTATGGGTTCAATGCCATTTTTCAGCACTTGATATGCTATATATGGCAGCTAGTACATTTGGTGGATGAAGAATCCAGGAAAGCCCCAGGAAGAACCATTGACCCACGAGACGCTACTGGCAAGCTTTCACACATACCCACATTGGCTAAACAAAGACTCCAACTCATATGGACAGCGATAAAAGTGAGCACGTTACATTGCACAATCATATTTTAATTTAAAACCATCTAGCCAAAATAAGAAGTCTTTTTATTGTTAAGTATCATGTGTGCTTAACTTTTGTCCATTTTTGTAGGTTGTGATGTGATGTGAATTTGATTTTCAACGTAGCTTTAAAAAAATTTCAGTCATATCACTACGATGTCTGCAGTGTGGCAGTTTATAGTGATGTCAAGCACTGGGGCATCATGATGCAGACATAGAGCATCATGTCCCATCCAGTCATATTATCCTGACAACAGGCCAACCAGTCCTATCACTAACCTCTTAATGCTGAGTGCCAAGCGAGGAAGCTGTTAGTACCATTTTTGTAAGTCTTTGGTATGACTTGACTGGGGATCGAATCCACAACCTCTGCATCTGAAACGTATACTCTAACCACTAGGCCACTGGAGCGGTTTAGTAAATTGTACATGAATATAATGGTCATTGGTAAACATATTTAACAGCTAACTTTTGCCCATGATTGTAAATTGTAAATAAGTCTTAAACAGTTTTCGAGTTCAGAAAATTCTTGAATACATTTGATGGAAGTTTCCAATCAAACAAGACTCACAGCATAGAATTCAAGAACATTTTGTTGTTTCTTAGGTCAAATGAAATTTATAGATATATGTATTGGGACTTGGTAAACAAAGTATTATTCTTGTTTCTTTAGGAATCTACAAATTTTCAGATACAATTTAAGAGAAATTATATATTGAAATTATTCACAGGAATTGCTAAAGAGCTCATATACTACAACACATTACTAAATTACTAAATATAATTACCATGGATTTATATAAAAACAATTCTGAATTACATCATCATGGCCAAAAAGCGACATTTAAGATAATTAGAATTCATTTTGGAACATTCTATCCTTTTTGGCTTGTGATAGAATATTTAACATTACATGTATTTGAATTTAATTTACAATACTGTGTTTCTTAAATTTTCACTGTCATTTAGATAAACAAAAAAACTTGTATATTTCATTCAAATAATTGGTTTTACTTTCTTTTTGTTTCTTAAGATGCAGCATTGTAGCATGGTGTAAACCCCATATTCATATGACTTTTCAGTCAGGAGTAATGATAACAAGATTTTCAAGATGGTTGCCATCTTCAATATCAGTTATGCACTGTTTTCATCTAGTACCAACCAAACAGCATTTGATTTCTGTCAGTGAAAGCACTGTCCATCATCCACCCATTCAGAAGCAGTACTAGTGGCCACTTTCAGCCATTTTAGATATCCCAGTGGCACCATTTTCATCGGGGACTAACTAGACTTCACAAATGATCTTTTATAGAAAACTTCATAATGACATGACTTTCAATTCAAGAGTAGTGCAATGATTTTCAAGACATGCCATTTTCATCTAGGTCCAACCAGACCATGGAATGAATGTGTGTAAAGTTTCTTGGCAATCCTACAAGCAGTTTCCGGGGAGCAGTGATATGTTATGCTAAAGGATGGATGGAAACTGTGAGGATTGCTAACCTTAAAAAGACCATCCCATAAGCTCTTCTGGTCTATGACCAGTAAAGCTAAAAATGAAAAACCTGAACCAAAATCTTTAACAAAACTGTTGATTACAACAAAGTTGCTGGAAAACAGACTACAATGTTTCTCATTTCCATTTTGTCCTGAAGAAGATTGAAATAGAGAAATGTGAAAAGTAAACTGTCCAACACATAACACAACATTTTAAGTACAGTATGTGACAATACCATAACTGTTTTCCATGGAATCTGACAAATCAACCAAGAAAATTGATGGAAAAGAAGTTTTAAATCTTTCTAATTCAGCTTAATCAAAATACAATTTTAAATGAAGACGATCTTTCAAAAATAAGAACTTAAACTGCAATAATAACTTCCATTCATGGATTCGCAAAACAAAAACTCAAAAGTCAATAAATTTCCTAACTAATTTGACACAACCAATCATAATGAACTACAGATACAGACTCTGGCCACTGTTATAATTCATACCCAAAAATTAAAATGGAAAAGAAAACTGGCAATAAGATCAATTTGTACATGTATACAAAATATGCTGATTACACAGATGGCATGGAGGCTCAAGCAATTTTATATCAAAAGGGATGAACATAAGCTAAGAGATATTGATATTATCAAACTTTATTATAACTAAAAACAATAACCAAAATCACTAAAAATGCATCATCTATAATAAATAATTTAAATCTTTCCCTTCTTAAATCTATTTTTTCTTTGTGAAGGGAGGTGTTATGTAGATATTTTTTGAAACTCTTGGTACAGGACTATCTATAATTATTTTTCATGACTGCAAATTGTAATGATCATCTATAATCAAGATATTAGTTCATTTTTGTACACGGGTATAAAATTCCATTTCAACATTTTAAGAGTGCACTGCATGCAATCTTTACATAGTTGTTGACATAGGTATTTTAGATCATTAATACAAATATAAAACTTGCTGAACACTTTAGAAAATTGCACTGGCTGGTGAGTCAGGTGGGTTCTTAGAAACTCAAGTTATTTCCCATTGTTAGGTCAAGTGGGTTCTTTAATGATGATGAAAATTTTCAAGAGTCATAGCAAGTAGTAGGAAATGTTTTCATCCCTTATGCATGTATACAAGCATGTGGAGCTGGAAAATTTGGTCAGTCATATTTCTCCCTGTTCTTGTTGTAACATCAGCCTGCAGATAAATGCTGTCTTTAGATAATATTTGAGAGGAAACATTTGGATTAATAATTGGAATTACACAGCATTCATTGAACTAAAGAATTTAATCTGGGACTATTGTGAATTTATTCAAAGGAGTTCTGGACAACGCCATTTTGATACATCAGAACTGTTGGCAGACCAATATATTTGTATATCAGAAATTTTTTTAAAACATTTTATTATTTTGGACTCGAACAGAACTTTATTATTATTATTTTGGATTCATAATACCTTAAGTTCCTCTGACATTTTCATTTGATGACTGATAATTAACTTATTTGTTAAATTTTACAAAACTTGTTCATCTTTCTGATAGTTTATGACCCTGGTTTACCACCTTCTCTTCCTTTTTTAACAAAATCACACCGAATTTAAAGAAAATATTTAAGCAATTACCATTAATGAACATTTTCTACTGAAATTACTGTCCTGTTTGAAATTCTGCACAGAAGTGGTCAAACTCAAAACGTAGGTACTGACCAACTTCCCAGTATTAGAATGAGTTATATCCCCTTACATATCTTGACTGGCTTGTAAAGTTTAGGTCATAAGTGCTAAATATACATAGACCTTATTAGAAAGACAAACTGTTCTCAGTAACAGCCCATGAACACCATGCCATAGACTCTGATGGAATGAAATCAACAACATAAAAAAGAAACAAAAAAAGGAGAAATAGCACAGGCATCAGTGAGAATTAACAAAAGGTACAAAAATGACTGAATGACTTTAGTGGTTCACTAGATCACTGATAATAAATCTCAAGTTGTCAATAATTCAATTTTATATAATCTACATCATATTCAATATTCATAAAAACTGAACAAAACCTTATAAATCACAATTATTTATTGACCAAGGTATAAACGTATTATACATGATTAGCAAATTAAGCTTCAATATACACACTATATAAATTTTAATAAACAAGTATATATGCATATAAAAATAATCACAGATCTTTGTGGGAGCACAAACTTAATTTCATTGCTTGATGCACTATCTGACATCAATGAAGCTTTTCCACTTCAAATTTCACAGCCTTGTCTCAAACCCCCAAGTTGAAAATTAATTATGCTCTTCTTTCAGTCAAGACTGTGTACATTAAGATATCCATGTTTCTCATAAACCTGCTTCA